ATATTTAATATTTTATTAAGAAATTAACACTTTTTTTTTAACTTCGCAGGCAAATTTGCCTGCTTTATAGTCTAAGGAATAATTATTATCAGGTATATCATTTTAATAACTATTGCCAGACATATAATCATAATTGTTCTTTTTATAAAAAAGCATATAATATCTATGATAAGTTACTTCGATTATAGTAGGTTTATAATCAATTTCAAAGTATCTACTATTACCTATAAGATGTGCTAATATTTTTGTTTTTTCCCCTGAACTTATTCCATCTTCATAATTATTTATGAATTCTGTGTCATCATCAATTTTATATACAAATTCAGCCCATTTCAATTCATTTTCTGAGAGACTCTGAAAAGGATCATTATTGTTATTCTTTGGTGGTAAATTCTGATCATGAGAGAATGTATCGACCAATATATTACTTTTAGGTATTTTTGATGCTTTTGAACTTCTTCTTGAACTTTTCTTTAATGCTAACCTTAAATTAGTTCCTGATTTTATTAATATTTCAATTTTTCAGTTATCAGTTTCTAAGTAATTACTCCACTCGTCCTTTAATATATTAAGTAAGTCTTCAAAAGATTCTTATGCAAGTTCATGATATCTTATTGAGGTTATAATTAATTTAAAACACTGATTTAATACTACAAAATTATGTTTGTTTTCTCTAGCCTTTTCGAAAGCCTTTTCAGTAATTCTTATATATGAATTTCCTTCTAATAAATAAGTTGGCCAGAAATACCAAAATCTTCCAAATTCTTCTGAAGATTATTCTGTTATCAGATAGCAATGGATTAAAGATGAGGGATGAAACTCAAAAAAGGCAATTAATAAACAGCTGAAACTATATTAAAACATAGTAAGGGGTACAACAAAACCCCAAAACCCGAAATTAGCCGAAATTATATTAAAAACATAGTAAGGGATAGGGTTCCTCAAAATCGAATCGAATTAAATATTTAAGCAATTTGAATTTGATTTGATTTTTTCAAATCGAATCGAATCGAATCGAATTGAACTCAAATA